GCTTGTCTGCGATGCAAGCCATAGCTTATATACTTCATCCTTTTTTTTAAAATTTAGCATTTGCATGTTCCGTCAACTAAATATAAAACAGAATGTAACTTTCCTAATATTGGTAACTATTTTCACTTTGAGTGCAACTCTCTAGAATGTTTTTAATCATGGTAAATTGGACAAAAATTTCGACATGGAATTTTGAATGACGCACAAGTATAATGTGGTTGTGAAAAAAAAATGTTAATCACAAAACAAGCTGTAAATGTAATATTGTTAAGAGACAAAATTGACTTTCTAGCAAGAATTTTCATTATAGGTGTTTTTTGACTTATTTAAACGTTGAAAATGGAAATGATATATTACCATAAGCCAGTCAGTAAAAATTATAATAAGCCTGTTGATCATTATAGGTGTTTTTTGACTTATTTAAACGTTGAAAATGGAAATGATATATTACCATAAGCCAGTCAGTAAAAATTATAATAAGCCAGTTGATCATTTCTTATTCCTTTTGGCGGTCTTATGTTAACACGTTCGACACCTCTTTTTCTTAGAGGTGACCTGGAGTGTAAACATGTAGTACTTTTCATACGCCCTTTCTTCTCTGAATTTTCTGTTTATTCTGTCGTTATGTAGCAGTCTTCGAGGACTATTTTCTCTTAGGGTATCTCCTCGACTATGATTTGAATTATGTTTGTAGGTTAATTATAATTTTTATATTGTCAATCTTGTTTCTGTTTTGCCCGAACTTGACTGTATGACTGAGAAATTTAAGGTAATATAATCAGGGACTTATACAAATAGCACTTAGCTCTCTTGGAGGCGGTACCTTGGGTACGCCCTTTCTTCTCTGAATTTTCTGTTTTTTCTTCGAGGAATTATAATTTTTACATTGTCAACCTTGTTTTGTTTTGCCCGAACTTGACTGTATGACTAAGAAATTTAAGGTAGAAAATCATTTTGTACAGCGTAAACATCTGGAAGGTACCTACTTAGTATGCGTACTCCGCTCTGCGTAGCTTGACGTAATTCGCTAGTGTAAAAGCATGACGAAGGTTAGAGATTGACAGCTCAGTAAGGGTCACCTTTATAAGCGGTGACCCACACTTTCCTCCAAAGATCAGAGCTAGTTCCCGCTGTATGAACTTGTGTAATAAAAGAGAATCAAAGACAGAGTCAAGTGAACAGATCGATGTTAGAGTTTTAAATCTGACAATATGTAAAACCTTCATACTAAAGGACCTCAGGATTTCTATGGCCAGCCTTCCCGAGTATTTCAATCCCTACTGATTCCTTGGTTGTCCCTTCAAAATCTTAAAACTGTAGACTTTCCGGGTTCAGAGAAGGTGGCTATAGGAAAAACATAATCGTGCCGCTTTCAGTCCATACATTCAATCGATTTCTTGTAGCTGTATAGAAAAGTTGCGGTTTTGGATCAATGATAATCTTATTTGTATTTTAAGGAACATAAAAGATATTCTTTTAAATTATAAAATAATACATTAACAAGAGCAGACTGCTGCGGCGCCCACTTGGAAATTAAAGTTCTCTGCCAATTTAAGTAAAGGTATAGGCGGTAAAAAGGGACAATTTAATGTATCACAAGCTGAGATTCATATATAAATATGAAAGGAAAACCTCTGTTTTAACATCTGAAGTGTCTTCTCGGAGTACCTTAGACGTGGGTATAATGGATTTTTATAACGGTTTACTTGCTGCAAAGCAGATAGTGAATCTGTGGCCTGAGAAGGGCTTTGAATGGCGACAGACCTCATTTCCGTGTTTTCAAATACAGAACCCTTTCTTCGCGATCTTCTTTGCATGTCAAGGAAAACTTCTCGATTTCTTCTTTGATATTGAATACAAGATTGTAGCGAGCATGCCCGACTATTTTTTTTTTTTTAATTTTTTATTTTATGCTATTCTGATATCGTACTTTTCTACAATTACATATCCGATCGCTTGCACGGCCTCTTCAATGCCTTCTTTTCTGCTTTTTACCCCAAACAACTTAATAAAATGATTTATTTCTACTTGTACGTATTTGGCAGGAACAACAGCAATCCATCGTTCTATGAAAAACAGCTTCTCGCCATTGCAGCATGCAGCGGCTTTGGTTGGATGTTTCCCACGCATAGACAGGAAGTTTACAATTGAAAACTTTCAGGCAAAAACAAAAACAAAAAAAACCCAATAGTTAAAACCTCGATCGATCCCTTCTGAAAATCACACTTTCTGTGTGGAGTCCATCGTTCTTCCTATCAACCAATCCAAAAATTGATTGATTCACTCTCCCTGAGGTCATTTTTTAGCGACCATACCGCTGACAAGAAGCCAAGATAACCCTGGGTTCGAGATTGAACTATCCCATGAAAGGTCCTTGAGGTTAATAGACAATAGAGCCGTTGTCTTCAAACGAATCAGACCACAACAACAGTCAAACTTTGATAAAAAACAGAACTTTTCCACAAACTTTGCGGGAATATCACACAATTTAAAACTACTCAAACCGTTTTTTGAGTCGTTGCCATCAAGGTCGTAATTTACATCTTTGATTAACGGACTCCGCGCACGCCTTTTTTTCTCTCTGATGTATTTTTCCTTTTAATTTTTAACAAGCACAGCGTGTGCCAACTTGGTGTGACAGCTCTGAAAAGAAACCAGAGGTCCGCCTACAGCCTCAATGGCACGCGTTTGTCGAGAATGGCAGTCGTTTTGGAAGTTGCTTAACGGGAATGGAATGGAATACATCGCGTAAACAATCCATGTCTGTGACATGATGACACATCTGTGCTTTTGAAATGATACCGGTTGATACTTCGTGCACAATGAAAGAGTCGAGAGCCAGGTAAGTACGTGTCTAAATTCAGCTAAATTGTACAAGTTCACAGTTCAACTTATGTTACAAGTAAGCTAGTGCCACGTAGCCTTTTTTTACAATATCGTACATGCCTAGCAAAGGTTTTGATTACCCTTCAATAGCAAGAAGGGTTTTGAGCGGAATTACGCGAAACAATTCCATGTTTGAATTAATTTGGCCACAGTGTTGCATTATTCAATAACTATTTCCATTCAAGCTTGTTTACTAGAGTCTTGAGATGCATCAAAATCGAACGCAGCTCCCATGAGGACTTGGGAAAGTTTTCCGTATAAAATTCCCTGTAAAATCAGTATTACTACGTTCCGAAAGTAAAGATGATCCATATCTGACTATGAACCGAGTTCGCTTGTTAACGAGAATACGGTTTTAATTTACCTTGATTTTGAACTCTGGCCTAGCTTAAACGCAGAACTTTTCTAGGACACGGAGAAGCGAATCAACTCCTTTAACCAAGTGCATCAAAAGGTCGATTTTTAAATCTATCATGTTCGTTCGTTCCGAAGTTAGCCTTTTTCTTGGATTAAAATTAAAAAGAATGTCAATAAGTAAATGCGTAACGGACGTGACCAAGCAACTATCAATACGCATTGTTTACGGTATGATTTGGCTCCAAACTTCTTATTCAATGAGCAATTGGAAAAATAAGAAACTCTTAACGGGGTCGTGACCTTTTCTTGTTGAGTCCATAATATTAGGTCAATCTTAGCCGGTAGGGCTTGTTTAGTGCCTGTGAAAGGAGTATTCATTTGAAAAATGAGTGTGAGGGTGACACGTAATTTTTGTCAAGGCAAGAATTAAGTTCAGTGGTCTACGTATACAGTTCAACGGTGAAACTACTTCAATTCAAAAGTTGAGCTTTTCATGTGCCAAATATTGTGTATAAGTTATTGTAATTTATTTTGATGTCCAAGAATTCTATTTGTTCTTATATAAAAACAATGGATGCAAGTTCAGAACTCTCAGCCAGTGAACTTTATCGTTTTGTTAGACCCAATTGGATGAGTAAGTCAGTCTACGAAAAGTTCTAGTTAGAAAATTGTTATCAAACACTCATTTAAAAAAGTTCTGGTCAAAGAAACTGAATTTTATTTTGTGAAAGACAAATTACCAGATGAAGTAAAAGGAAAGAAACATTGAAATGTAATGCCACATTAGGCACAATGCATGGTGGTTATGATTCTGTTGGATTTTCATTCATTTATCTCATGCATTATAAGGAATTTTAAAAGAGCCAAGAAGTTTAGATATGTTCTGTATTTTCCATTTTGTATTTATTCACTCAGGAGAAAAGGCACAGAATTTTTTGAGACTTATAGTAAAACCATATTGCATAACCAAGTTATTGAGGAAAAGAGCTTGAAAATTAGGCTTGTGGGAGAGGATTTTCAATTTAGCACACCAGCCTGGGAGAGTAAGGAGATGGCTGGGCTAAATAAAAAATGTATTACTTTCTGAAACCAGGTAATTCACCAATTCACTGAGTGCCAAAGCAATTAAATAGTGGAATTATCACAAGCTTTGGTGGAAATCTGTTAATAATTAATTTATACATTTTTAAATAGGAAGAAGACTATCTATCATGATATGGCTATCTCAGCTGATGGGAAACATTGGAATAAAGGTTAAAATTCAGAAAAGGAGTATTTATGCACCCCATCCTCAACAGCTACGAGTTATGAAAGGCAAGTAAAACAGACAGAATCAACTTATTGAAATGGTTTCCACTTGATTAAAGTTGAGGGTGATATTTAAAAAATTCTACAGCACTCAAAGGTTCCTTTTCACTATCTTATAGACTTTTTCATGTTTCATTGGTAACAGTGTTTTGGCTAACATATTTGTTCTTTTGCAGAAATTCAAACAATTCCCTGGAGCTTGATTGCAAAGGTTAGTATGTGTGTCCAGTAATTTGTGTCAAGAATTAAACTTGCTTATGATACTAAGACTCGTAGGGTATATTGGAATTAAATTTTCTGCAAATCCAAGGCTATCACTTGCAGAGGATTCTAGGCCTAGACTCGCTCAACATGCTTGCTCTTTGACTCTCTGAGGATACTGGTCTTGGACTTGCTGAGGACACCAGGCTTTGACTTGCTGAGGATACTGGTCTTTGACTTGCTGAGGATACTGGACTTTGACTCGCTGAGGATACTGGTCTTTGACTTGCTGAGGATACTGGACTTTGACTTGCTGAGGATACTGGGCTTTGACTCGCTGAGGATACTGGACTTTGACCTGCTGAGGATACTGGTCTTTGACTCGCTGAGGATTTCAGACTCTGACTCGCAGAGGATACTGGACTTTGACTTGCTGAGGATATTGGACTTTGACTCACTGAGAATAATGGGCTTTGACTCAATAAAGATACTGGACTCTAAGTCTGGCTCACTGAGAATAAGTCTGGTTGACTCGCTGAGAATAGGTCTGGTTGGCTCGCTGAGAAAAGGTCTGGTTGACTCGCTGAGAATAGGTCTGGTTGACTCGCTGAGAATAGGTCTGGTTGGCTCGCTGGGAATATGTCTGGTTGGCTCGCTGAGAATAGGTCTGGTTGGCTCGCTGAGAAAAGGTCTGGTTGGCTCGCTGAGAACAATTCTGGTTGACTCGCTGAGAATAGGTCTAGTTGGCTCGCTGAGAATAAGTCTAGTTGGCTCGCTGAGAACAAGTCTGGTTGGCTCGCTGAAAAAAAGTCTGGTTGGCTCACTGGGAATAAGTCTGGCTTAAGACTTAGAGCATTGTCTCAGTCTTATTTTTCTCTACTTATCAGAGTAAAGTGCAAAGGAAGAAAATGAAATTGATTGATCATTTTAGTCAGAAGTGTTAGTTTTAAACCACAAAATATGTGAAGTATTTTTGTATTGCTATAATAAAAAATTATTTTCACCAACAACTCTGAAATAGGGTTAGTTATAGTGGGAGTACGTCTTTCTGTCACGAGAAAGACATACTCCCACTTGTTTTTCCTCCTTTTTTCCTAGTAGAACTGTCTAAGGACAAGTGATGGATGTGTGCTGTGTAACAATGAAGCTGTGCATGAATAGAAGTGGTAGGTGTGAATGATTTTTGTCTCACATTTGAACTATAAAGTAACATCCCCCACCTTTCCTCCACAAAAAGATTACCAGAATACTAAATGCCAAGTTGTCAGCCCTGTCTCTTACAAGTTAGTTGATTTTTGGCACTTAATTTAGTTTACAATTTCCTATCCATGGCTTATATTTCTCTTCCTTGCCATGGTCATAATCACTGCCATTTCTGGGTTTAACTTATTTATCATTCTCGACCTAGAGTTCCTCCTTGTCTGTTGGAAGTCACATCATCCATCTAAAAGGCTTTTTTTTACTGTGAAGAGTGGTTCATCTTCCTATTACCCACCCCTGTCATCTGAAATTGACTTTTCCTCAAACTTCACACCTCACTCTTTGTATTTGTTTCTCTTCCACAGTTAATGACTGGAATGGGAATTCATAGAAATGCAGTCCAATGATATTTATCATGTGTCAAATGAATCTTGAATATTAATAAAAGTCGTTCAAATATACTGGCTGACTAACCAAAATTAGTCATGGTAGCATGGGGGAAATCTTATGGGGAGATAATAACAGCCCTCTTAATGTAATTGCTGTGGCAGACCCGCTTTCGCCTATGTCAGAACAAAATTATCGTGTAGACACTAGACAAAAACACGCTTTACTGACTAAGAATGATGTGGGTCAAAGGCCAAGTATTGGCCTGTGCGAGTATCCTTTCTGTATGCATTAGTGGTAATGAAACCTCTGGCGTCCCAATTTAATGACGTATCGAGGAAGGGAAACTCGATCTGGAAAACAGGAAGAGCAATAACTGAGCCATAAAGAGCACTTAAAAGAGACGCGGCTTGCTCACACTCAAAACTCAGAAGATACACAACACGTTAATGAAACAGGACACGTTCTTGTTTGGAACCAGGTTAAGGTTATTGACTCGTAGGGTCAAGGAAGCCATCCATATTAGACTCCATCCAATAACATCAATAGGGATAGCGGTTGACAACATAACAGCCGGTCAACAACAAAGAGGACTTAAGCGGAAACAATATGTACTAGTCGGAAAAATAATGAGGAGCGAAACGCACGAATGACAGTGCACCAAATCGACCAATGGCGACAAACAAAGGTGTAGTAGACATGTTCGAATATAGCGGTTGATAGTCTGTTATCGCGCTCCTTGGCTGATTGATTTTCTTATTTCGTGTGCAACATGGATCTCCTCTATTTTAGTAATTTAAAGCGCGCGAACCCTTCAAGGATAATCCGATGGTTTCAAAACCGGGGATTATTGGCCAATCCATTGCACTGCGGCGTGTGCAACCAAGACATGATAATGGTTCAACGAACCGATGCCCACGTGGACGGATTTCGATGGTAGGGAGGAGAATTTGTCTACTAGATTTCGCATGAAAGTAATTATAGATCAAGTGTTGAGGCCTCAAATATTTTAGTCTTCGTTTTGTAGTATTCCGGTAAAAGATTAATTTTGACGAAGTCGATGGAGACTTTTACGAGAGAGAACATTATCCTCTAAAATGCGACTAAGAAGCTCAGCAATATAACCATAATTATGGTCAGTTAAAATCAATCTTATTTAATCTCCAACTTGATATGTTTGATTTAGGAAAATAAAACAAACACACAAAAAAGAAACAAAACGAAACGAAAACCAAAACAGCCTCAACATAAGCGCTTTAGTGATCATCTGCTCGTAATTTGTTCCTCGTGAACGACAGGCACCGCGCAGGTGGGCCACGGTTGACGCCCCGTTTTCAATTGATAAAATGTAAATTAAGTGTAGTTCGAAAGGATGTATGATTCCCTTGTTACTTCTTCATTTTCCATTTCGTTTTCCTTTTTTTTTCCCGAGACAGCTCGGATATTAACGAATCCCGGCAAATGTTTAAAACGGTCGTCTCATCTTATCTCACCCTTTATTTAGGAGATGCTATACTTGCAAGATGAAACGAAGCATTAGGACAAATTCTTTCTTTGCCAAGTTTGTTTCTGCACTTCTAAATATAGCAAACTTGAAATAAAGTAACAAGAAACTCCCTATAAAGTTATATTTTTCTAGACTGTATTGTTTAATATGTTATCTACTGCGCTAGCTAATTAAGGCCACAATTTTCAATTCATTAATACTAATCGCATAACGTGATGACGTCATAAACGGAATTCACTGCATTACCACTTGCTAGTCAGAAGAACTGTGAGACACCACTGGATTTTGAACGCGACTACTCCAAGCGATGATTCAATAAAGGAGCTGTTTAAAACCGTGGACTGAGTAAATCTTCGACTGGCAAAATATAGACTCATAAGCATAAAGGAAATTTGCCTGTGAACTGCAACATTAAAAAAATCAAGGCCTTTTTCTTTACCTTTAAAGATTACAAGGACAAGGGAGAGCACAGATAAGGTTGAGGAGAACAAGACTTTAAGTGAGGGTACGATTTGACAAACACAATTTATTAAGTGTCGTGGCTAGTGAATTTCTTCAGCTTTCTAATTTGCTCAAAGCATTCCAAAATGGGAAATTCCACTCCCAGATGACCAATAGCTAAACCCTATAAACAACTCACCACAACAATTTCTTCTTACTATACCCACAGAACTAGAAAAGAAGAAAAAGAAGAAGACACGGGAGAGAAGAAAGAAGAAAAAATATTGCATCTCTGCAAGAAGGCAACAAAGAAACTAGTGAAAGAGTAGAAGTTGTAAATGAGAGCAACAATTAGCCTTTAGTGACTGTGCAGTGCCTTGTACTTAGCCTTAAGTTTTCTTTTCATTCCTGTCATAAAGTTTTCTTTGTAAATATGATGAGAATAAATGATATCAAGTTTTCCAAAATGTATTAGTTGTTTGGTATATTTGACAACATTTTCCAGAGGCAAAGAGATCATTGTGCTATAATAAATATGCTACAGATAATAACAATTTTTGTTTTGGTCATCATGGTCATTAAACAAATATATTCCCCTCATTATTTGTTTCTTAAAAACTCTAACAAAATCATTTTATAAATCAAAGCTCTCTTTCTAAAACTATCCTTTTTTCTGCGTCGTGATAGAAAGATTGGTGATCCAAGACCAACCGAAGCAATCTCATCTCTGTAATAATCTGGAAAATTTTCTGAAACATTAACATGTAAGAACATTTTTTTGTAGCGAAGTTAGATTTCTCATTTTAATTTGTATTTATTTTGATTATATCCCTGAGATAAAAAGATGGTTTACGAGGAAAAACTCATTTTAAGAAAGAAATTATCATTCATGTCTTTAAGATCGAATATCCTATAAATACAGTCTTCATTAAAGAAAAAAAAAACTAAAACAGCACAGTATGATAAAATATTCCTTGCATTGACACATGAAGTTTCAGGAACATTTGACCTTTATTTTTCAAAATTTATATCTTTGAGATGGTTATAATTTCTGCCATCCCTCGTTGTGGAGGAATGAAGTAACTTAAGGGAAGTGGAAGCTTTGAACTTTATTCGATACACATATTCAATGCTTTTTTCTATGTGCTGAAATATATGCTACCAGCCATATAATAATATTGGTTAAGGCCTTCCCTACCCGTTTACCATACCAAGACATAGAAAATAGAACTTACCTTAACGTATTGTACGAATATCTCAGCGCTAACCTTCCGACCCTACAACAACCTTGGGGAAAAAAATTAGACATCTACGCATGCGCCGAGAGCCGACGTTTGCCGAACGAATCTCATTTCGTCAAACGAGTCTCGTTTCTTCAAACGAGTCTCGTTTCGTCAAATGAGTCTCGTTGTGTCAAACGAGTCTCGTTTCGTGAAACGAGCCTCGCTTTGACTCGTTTCGATTCTCTCGAACAAACGAGTCTCGTTGAAAATCGTTTATCGAGTGACTCATAAATCGTGACGATTAAAAATCGAGTGGTTTCCCAGAAACCGTGAGTGATACTAACAAACCAGTGGCCCTTTAAAATTATGTACAATACGGATGTTAAAAACTATGGCATAACTATGAGATAATATAACGAATAAAAATAGAGAGATAAGAGATAAAATCAATTAGAAGTACAAAAGTATAACTAAATCACAGAATAAAATGATTTAAAAGCTGCTGTTCTTCAAAAATTTTTTTCCAAAGAGAGTTCTTAAAAGAATGAAAAAACTGTTTAAACTTTGTATTGTATTGTTTAACAATATTTAATTCTCTTTAAGGCTCGCTGAAAACTTTTCGATATATTTCATTTGAAGTTGGAAAAACATCGGCTTAAGAAAGTGCTTGGAAGAAAGAAAGAAGGGAGAAAAACAACAACAACAACAACGACTACATGTTGGACATTTACGTTCATGTGGTGGCTCCTAAAGGAGCCGTTTGTTTGTGAGGTCGGGCAGTTCACTTGCTGCTGGTATATTTGGTGACTGCTTTTGTACCCTCGCTTACTGCATGTTTTGCGAGTTCGCCCGGTAACAGTAACCTAATGGCGGTCTGGATTTCGCGAGAGCTGATGGTGGATTTCTTGTTGTAGTGCGCAAGCCGCGAGGATTCGGTCGCGATGCGTTCAAAGACATCGTTGACAAACGAGTTCATGATACTCATGGCTTTGCTGGAGATACCGGTGTCGGGGTGCACCTGTTTCAACACTTTGTAGATATAGATCGCATC